TATTTGTTTAGCTTCAGAAATTGTGCGACGAGCAAAAGGTATTTTAATAAGCCTAATTAAAGCAACAGCATTCTCTACTGCATAAGATCCTACCAGTTTCTAAAAAATAAACAAAATGCATTGTGGGAATATTGACATCGTTTTGCTAAATGCTCCTCTTCGTGTCTTCAATACTCGAATTAAAATGATGTAACATTTCAGTTTGTTTATCCAGATTTTGCCAATTAAAAGCACACAAATATTTTGAAATTTCTGATTTTTATTTTTTACAGGAACGTAGAATCTCAACTTGCTAGAGAAAGAGAAGGAAGAAAATGTTTTCATCACTAAGAGCTATAAAATCAAAAAAATACTTTACTGAAAGATGCCAGCGCTACTTTATCTGTCGGAGTAGCTATTGTTATCCGGCTTACACATTACTAATAATTCGCATGTTCTTCTTGGATATTAATTACTGGAATCCACTAGTTTAGGTACAAGAAAGTGGATCAAAAAAGAGTGATGTCTGATGACTTTGATCAATATGAAAATGTTTAGCAATAACGAGGTATAAGACCTAATTTAGAACACAGCAATGTGAAAGTTTTGAAGGAAACAACAAATTGAATTTTTTTTGTGGGGTGATGAGATTTTTCGTATTAAAAATCTCTGTTTACTTTGAACCGTTTTTGATTAACAGAATAATTAGAATTTTATTCCAGTGGCCTAGCGGAAAAATCGCTAAACTCTGTTGGTTGAACTCGGGGTCAAATCCTGGTGAACGAGACAGACTCCAAGGGAATTTTTGTGGTTTCTCCAAATGAATACGAACCACGTTCCCTTAGAAAATCCTCCAAGAAAGCATCTCTCTCTTTAGGCAGATAGCCCAGCCCTTATGTGCTTTGTCATTCCAAACAACCTAACCTAACCTAACCAAATTAGAAAAAGCAACTATTGCAGTCTGTCGATACTTATCCAGTTTGAATAAGAAAAGTTCGGATAACTAGGCGGCCATGCGAAATTTACTCCAGACCAGCATCGCGTAATCTCATACACTACTCCAAATAATAATGATATTTTCTTTCTACTATTTTGAAAATGACCTTTTTTTTTTCACATGTGGTACTTCTTCTTTAAAAAGGGGGAGAAGGAAAAGTGAAATAATCGGACAATTTGTTTTAGGCACAGAAACTGAGCTAAATCAAACTTTTCCTGCCGATCCGACCATTCAAAGCTCTTTCAGAAAATTTAAAAGCTACAGTATTCGATAGATACCTGAATCTCTTCAATTTTTATTTCAATTTCTTATTTATCTTAAACCGATGATATAATCTCATCATCATCATAGCTTAAATCTCCAATGCAGAATTGCTGCACTGATATTTAAACACTCATTGAGTTATTTCCATCGTAACTTAAAATTTCTTTCTTCTCTTTATTATTCATTTTGCATTTCTGATATTTATTATCCCCATGTTGTTGTCATTTTCGTTTTCATCTAAATAATTCTGTGTTATAATGTGACCTTGAAATCGGAGTGTTCGGATAAGCGAAGCTTGTATGATCGTAGCTTTTGTAACCTAGATTCTTGACAAACCGTCATACGAGGAGGACTCGAGAATAAAACATTCTGTTCACTTCATCATACGAAGAAATGTGGTGTTTTATTTAAAATATAATTTAGATTTTTCAATTGAATGCATAGAAACTAGAACTAGACTTTTGAATAGTTTTCATGCATACTATTAGCTAAATTCATGCAGCTAATAATATGCATGAAAACTATTTACTTATTCGTGTAGTTAACAGAGCTTAAACAGCCCTAGAGCCCACAGAAGCTCGGCTCCGGTGCTTCTTAGTTTTGGGGATAAATCATTATTCTAGCCGGAGCGCACGGGAGCCCTAAATAAGAAGGCTTCGTCACTTCTTTAATGTAACATAGCAGCAATATCAGTAGAAATCTAATCTCTAAAAATTTATTTTTAATGATAAAATTATATTAAAAATCGATTCTAACTCCTGAATGCATGGTTCTTTTTCCTTGGGAAATAAACCCTTGGATGGAGGTCGAGACTTTTAAAGAAAGAGAAGCCCCCACCCACATGTCAAAGGGTTACTCTCCAGAAAGTACAATTAATTTATGAGAGCAGGTTAAATTTTTCGTTCCTACGCTAGTGTCTTCCCACAGAAACGACCACCTCCAAACTTTTTGGAACGATGTAACCAAAGACGGGGGATGAAAATTGTCACTTGTTAATTTTTTTAAACTAACTCTCGGATTCGGTGAAAATTTGTTCTCCTATCATATTCTGCTTGACATCTAGAATTATATTCAGAGAAGATCGTGGTAAAAAAATGTTGGACACTTCATTTTTTTAATACCTATAGGTAATCTGTTAAAGTTTTCTTCATATTCTTTAACTGTTTATAGCATTCTCTATATTTTCATTAGTGACGCTGAAACCTTTTCCACGTTTTCTATTGGTGTTCTGTAAGAAGAATGGTCTTCATTTCTATCAACCCTTGAAGTAGTACATTATATTCAGACCTTTAATTAAACTGGAGACCAGTTGAGCTAATTCTTATTTTTTGTGCAAAATTGTAATTCCAGCCGAAGCCCCAAATAAGTCAAGGTCCAGTACTTTATTTTAATATTTAATTATTCACCATTTATTTAATAACTTATTATGTTTTTATTTTTGTCTTATATTTTATTAAATTTTAATATTATTTGTTTAATTACTATAATCATTAATTATTTAATTTTAATAATTAATTATTAATTATTTTACTAGCCATTTTATTTATTTACTTGATTTTGTTCTTCTTTCCTGACAGTCTTCCATAGGGCTCCGGCACTTCTAATTTTAGAAATTAAGCCCTGGCAGTTAATAAATTAACTTATTCATTACAATTATACATTCATATCATTCAAATTGAAGCGCTGCTGTATTATGTAAAGCAAATTAGTTTAGATTAATATTTTCTAATTTAAAGATCTATCAACTTTTTTTTTCGTTAGGTCTTTTTTTGTCGTGCCACAAAGGCGACAAAGTCATACAGTAAATATTATACGTTACTGCTTACATTTACATTACCAAGAGATTTCTTACTATTCAGGATTTGTAACGAGCATTTGCTCATTTGGCTGACTTATAATCAGACTAAGCCCAAGAAATTCCTCGTGCCAAGGAGCGCAAGATTATGCCTGTCATTGGCAAAAGTCTTGAGCACCTTACAGGTAACAGTACAGTTTAGCTCAGTTTCGCCCCCAATTTTGATGGAAAGCACCCCGAAAACACTACCCAAATGACCACGGACCCTAGGACTTAACGAGTCTCTCGGTGAAATTATCATGTTGGCACATGCCATCTAGTACCTATCCGTAGTTATAGCTAGCAGGCAGGATGACATTTTAACAGTTCTCGGGGGGATTGGTCCGAGGGTCTCCCACCCATCTTCCCCTACCAGCAACCTCTCGATAGGACATTCAGCTGGCCGCTTATTTAGAGTGCCTCCATGCCGCGCAGACACTATACATTTACAAACATCCACGCCTTCTCCGGGATTCAGCACGGCAAACAGAAACGCTAACCACTGTACCTGTTGGGCGGCTGAGGATTTGTAACGCTAGAATGTCTTTTCTGAGGTGTCTAACAATGGCCGAGTGGTTAAACTGGTAGTTCGATCCGATATCCAATCCTTGTAAGCTGCAAGGCTGTTCGAATAATGCGTACTTGCATCATCACCCTAACTATGTCTCTTAAAAAGAGAAGTTAGAAGAATAAGCGAAATATGAGTGACTCGGAGTGGGAAGCTTTTTTGGAAGACAAGCAAGATATTGATGGAATATATACGTATTGCTTAGTTTATTCCTATAAAATAATGAGGTTAAAGCAATTTTTGTGAAAATTTTTTTTATTATTTATTAAATAATTTTTAAATACCTCTCTACCACTATATCATTAATTAACACAATAACAATATCTATAATTAACACATTGGTACGAGAACTTTCGTATTTGGCAATACAAATTGAGTGCATAAATACGAGTATACTGGTAGTTCGTGTCCAGGGTCAGAATGCTACAATGAGTTATCTAGTAGTCGACAGCCAAGGTGTTCTAAATTACAAAATGTTATTTCTATTCATTTGAAAAAGAGAACTTTTCATTTAGCCGCGTTTCGCGGTTTGAGCGACTCTGCGTAACTTGCTTGCGTTTAAAAAGATTAATTACATTTCTGCAATCTTTATTTAGTGGTACCCAAGTAAGCTTTTCATGAATTTATCTTTTGACTTCCCTTATATTTGTTTTTAAGTATTTTCTATTAAGATTTACTTGATTTTTAAATTTTTAATATTTTTAATTCGTTGTTGATTTTACAGTATATAAACTAATCGATCTGAGAAAGAAAATTTACACTTGCATTCATTGCATTCATTCATATAAGCAGTATAAAATTAATTATTCAAAGGAAATTTCAACGAGTTAAATTTGATACATAAAAAATCAACCCCTCTTTTTATTTTATTAATTTTAAATGTATTCTGATAAGTTTCTACGTGTGCTAATAATTTTAAATCCACCCTTTTAATTTCTAGAAAAGAGGGAATATGCTTTTATGTTAATTAGGTGGAGCAGTAAATCTTTTTTAAACATTAGAAATATATTTTGTCATCTATATTATTAAAATGCTTGAAAAGGGGAAGTTTTTATCAATTTGTATTACAAATGGGAAAGTAAAGCGACAGAATCGCTCTGTTTGCAGTCTAGATAAACTTTCGCTTCAAGAAAAAGGAAAGGAAAGTAATTTTCTGTAACTCTTTGTCCTTTAGAAAGGGAAACTGCAAATGAAATCAAAACCAGTGATGAGGAAAATATTTTTATGCTTTAGGCATTGAATGAATGCGCCAACTTGCCAGGCAGAGCGCAAACCCTCCAAATGTAGCAACCCTGTCGCGGCGGAACGTGAAGCAACTGATCGGTGTGTACATGTCTGCTGCAACAGAGGCCCACATACGAACTGAGTGTTGGAGAGTGCACAACAATTTTTGTCGAAAGTCTTGAGAGTTTGCCGATATTTACTAAATGCTTCTCATCTGTTGAAATTTTATGATTGGATTCTAGACTACTGGCGCGTTTTATTCGATGGATTTTGGATAAAACTGTGATATCTTGTGGTGTAGAAAAATTTTGAGATCTTAAGGAAGAATTCTGGGTAAGTAACTTCTTGCTTGGGTGTCAATGACCTTAGTTTAAACTCGGATATGTAGCGTGTTTATAAATGAAAATCAAGGAATTTTTTTGCCCATTTTTGGATTTTAGCTTAAAAAATTAAGCAGATTTGTGAAATAATATAAATTTTTATTAATTTTCTCAAATTTTTTCGCGTGAAAATTATTTAAATCCACGCGCACACCCACTAATTTAATTTTTTAGTAGTAAAATTTTAAAAGAATGAATATATTTTTGTAGTAACCATGTTATGCGTAAGCTATGTGCGCAAAAAAATTCCTTACAGGTCTATGTAAACATTGCACTCACTAAATTTCGTGCAGTCATTTTATGTTATTTACACCTTGCGATTAGCTGTAGAATTAATCTGCAGCGAAAACTGCAGTATAAATATGTAGACAGCATTTACTATTTACCTGATCTCAGTAAAAAGCAGTCAGTTGATTATAAACGGAGTGCAATGAACTTTTCATAGATCGGAGTTCAGTCACATGGTTAACTAAAAGTATTCTTTTGGTGGCAACACATCGGATATGTCATCAGATAATAAATGTAGTGTAGTTAAGTGTGCATAATTTTAAGGCAATTAGCTCAGTAATTTTCATTTTGTCTGACAAAACTAAAGAACGTATGTTTAGTATAGCAAAAGGAGAGAGGGGTCATTGAACTTTTCACTTGCGCTTGTTAACTTCAATCTCTGTGAAGATGTGTATGTTCTTATTGCTGTACCGAAAACTGTAATATAAAAGTAGTTTCTAATTTCCATAGAAAATTAGCAGAATTTTTCTATATTTTGCAATTTATATTATGCATTAAATTTTTGAATGAAATTTTATAAAGTTAGCAGAAAAGTCAAAACTTTCTGATAAATTTGATAGTATAGTGCACTATGTATTCCTTATAATAATTTATTTCTGCTGTTATTTTTAGTCTGTGTGGTTATTATGATTAAAGTTTTGTCTGACTACTGAAAAGTGATGCACATTAATTATTTTTCGTAAGTTTACTCTTATCAAAGTCAATTGTGCCTGTGTATGTAAGGATTAGGATTTTAATTTTGTATTTGATGCATATTTGAAAATTAATCGTGTAAAATTTTCCAAAATCATTGTACGACTTTTAGAAAGCTGTCAACAAAGTAATTCATGTTTGAATAAAACTTTTTAACTTTGTAAAACAGCCAAACTGTGTTTTACGTTAACTACTCTGGTGTTTGCGGAACTAACCTCTCATTTTGCATGTTGAGAAAAGCATGTCACAAAATTTCGTGCAGATATTAGAAAATAATCCTGTATAACTCTTTCTTACCTGAAATAAACAAGTTGGATATAAATCTCATGCTAATTTAGTTTACTCTGACCTGCTAAAGGTCATTGCCTGAGCCTACGATTTGCCGAAAGGGGGCGTTGCGTTACTTAGACTTTGATAAGGAGTTGTCAACCAGCTTTTTCTTATATTTATTTATTTTTTAAGAATTAAGATATCCTTAGCGAAATGTAAATACGCAGCATTAAAAAAAAATTAACATGATAATGTAACTGATGGAAAGATTCTGAGCATTTCTGTGAGATATTTCCAGAGCTTTCGTCATCTCTTATTGCCGAGTTTTAAATATTTTGCATGTGTAACTTTTTTTACGGGAAGTTCCGGCAAACGGCTTTTCTGGATTTTATAAGATTCTATTTTAGAGTCTTCGTGTATTTTATTATTAAATACCAAACATATGACTACGGCTCCGTCTGAGTTGCGAAGTTCAGAAATAAAAATGACTAATAACATTAAAAATAGGAAAACAACCCGATATGAGGAAACATCGCGCTTTTTTTTTAACAGAGACAGAAGATAAGAAAGTACTTTTTCAAATACATTGCGAATTTTTTGCTTGCTAAATGAGTGCTATCAGCTTTGCTTCCAAAGTTTTTAAATTTCGACTCTTAGGTGATAAATGAAGTAAAAAGAAAAAAAAAAAAAAAAATTGAAAAGGGGGAAAAATATTTTACGCTCACTTTTCTTCGCTTCTTACCCCAGTTGTACGTTTATTAGAAATCAGAATTGGCTTTGAAAAATTCGCACAGGAATTCTACATTTCGCTTTGGAAATAAAAATAGATATTTAATCAAGGCATCGAATTTAAATTGAAAAGATTGGATTTAGTTTCATATAGAGAGTAAAGAGATTTTTTGCGACGATGTTTCAACAGGATTTTCGGAATGAGATGAGTTGAGAAAACCTGAGACGAACTATTATGTATCGCACAAATCGCGAAGGCTGATCTTAATCAAGAGATGCGTTCCAGGAGAACTTTTCTAGGGAAAGCTGTTTCTCGTCTTTACTTTACACATGGAGGAAGACAAGCTTCCGTGCAGCTTTCGGGAATCGATCCCTAGTTATGTTTCATAAAAGGGTTAAATGCTTATCATTTAAGAGATGCTTGCCGTCTGGAATATTTTAATCCAAGGATGATGATGAACTGTGAAAGAAAATTAAAAAATTTAATTCAGGTATACACGAAATTGTAAACTAAATTCAAACGTCCATAACAAAATTAATGTTTAATTGCCATAATAAAATTAATAATTAATATCTAGACTTTGCTTGTGCTAAGAATGCTGTTTGATCCGAAGCAGCGGTTTGTTTGATTTTTATTAGGCTTTAAGGTACAAGTAAAACTTAGGGCAAAACTTTCGTTTTTAATTAAGCTTCTTGGTTGATGTACTAGAATTTCACCTGAAACTAGAGTGCCATCGCCAAGTAATTCAGCACTCTGTCAAAAGTTAGTGCACTGTCGTGTACTGTATTCGGCATTATAAATTTGATACTAGCAATATCGTAATGCCAGTAGTGATGATAAGAAAAGCATTTGATCGATCTGAATCCCTGCGAAAGGACTGGCTGCACGGCTGCTGCGTAGTTTCTCCCCGGCGTGTAACGTCAATACTAGCTAGTTTTTCTTGGAAAGTTCTCTACGAAAGCATTCCTCCTCTTAGGTAAATGCTCCACCAGTGGCCAAGCAGTGAAAGACTACTGAATGCTGGTAGTTCATCCTGGGTTTAAACCCGGGCCAGCAGTTTCTTTGTTTTTCCCATGTGTAACATAAAGATGTGCCAGTTTCCTTTAGAAGGCTGTCCATGAAAGGCTCCCTCCTCTTAGCTAATCTTCGAGCGCTTTGTTATATTGAAACAACCAACCCCTTAGACTGTCATCGTGTGCTTTATTCAGTAAAACAAGCAAACAAAAAGCATCTTAGTTTGCTGCATTCGGAATTTAAAAATGGTAAGTTCAGTATAAGACTACATACCACTTTTAAAATAAAATTGATGTATTATAAAAATATTAAAAACCGAAGATGGAGCATTCTCTTGAGTTTTCGTGGTTTGTTGTTTAAAACTATCTTCAATTTTTCCATCTAGGAAGTTTTGAGAAAATATTTATTCCTTGCTGCTGCTGCTTACTCTGCGGGATCGATTTTAATACGCAGCTGCATTGCTGCTTAATGCTAGTTATGTTTACGAGGTTTTCGCAAATAAATGCGTAACCCCTGGCGATCCCATTAGTTTATTGCTGGGATTTTTGCTTTCAGTATCCTTGCACTTTTTCCGTATCAAGTTTCGGCACCTGTCGATTGACGATCCCCACCCTACTCGACTCCCTTCACTTTCCGCGGCTACGCTCTTCCACGTGTGTGTGTGGGGGGGGGGGATGTTCCTGCTATTTATTCAAGGTCAGAATGGGAAACGATTTAGCGGAGGGGAATGTTTTCTCTAGCTCTCGGTGCTCTTTCTTCCGCAATTAGCAAATTGAGCGTTGTAATTAATCGTAGTGTTTTCGTTTTAGAAATTAATTCGTTAAAGTAATGTAACAAAGATATAAATATTGGCTTCGAACTGTAACGAAGAGAACTATTTTTTATTTATTTATTTATTTTATTTTTAAATTTAAGGAAATAAATGCAAAATTCTTCGTTTTCTACAAAGTATGGCACGAAGCTTACAGAAATAATAAATAACTCAATATAGGAGATATAATACAACAATAATACATAATATCCAGCTCTCCGGAGAATAAGGAATATATATATATAATTTAAGAAAGGAGAACAAACAAAAAAGACCTTTGTGGTCAAGGATTTTTGCGCATTGAGCTGCAAATACAAATACTATTATAATAAGAATAATAAAATATGCTGTAAATAACAAAACTATGATAATATTAAAAGGATAATAGATGAAAATAATAAAAATACAACAATAATAATAAATTAATACGTTAAAATAATATTTATACAAAAGGAAATATATTAATACATAAATAATATGACACATAAAGAAATTTGTCTTTTGTTTAGCAAAGGGTAGTATTTTAATGCAAGAAAAGCAGTGTTGTTGTTTTAACATTTTGTTTTGCGTTTTTAAAGGACATTTTAAGTTTAATTTTCGCAAAGTTAATGAAGGTAATTTTTGTAGCCTAATACAGTTTCCTCATTCTCAGTTAAAATTAAGCATTTGTGTTTTTAAATAAAATTTTGGAAAAATTAATTAGTTTAAAAAATAAAATCTATCAGTTGAATATTTATGGATTTAGTTTGTGTATTTCATCCAATTTATAAATCCAACCTAAGCTTTACCCAAAAGGTACAGCACACGACGTACATGAAGCTTGTAAGATGTATTTTAATTTTATAACAGTTATTTTAATTTTGAAACCCTTTCCTTTTAATTCCTGTTTCCTACTTACAACTCCCTAACAGAATGAGTTTTGGGAAACACGGTTGAATGCAAATGAGTTACGAGTAGAATTTATTGGAAGTTTTAAAAAAAAAAAAAAACCACTTCGATAGAGAGGCTGTTACGCTCGGCCGTATTATACGTGCCTATTGATATTCCCCGGCTAGCTTAATTTAAGGGCCAACTACATTAGATACTTGTGTTTAGCTTCGGCTAAATCTAGTTTAATTACTCTTAGATTAATTTCTTATTCTGAGTT